GCATGGAAGAAGGTGAGATAGTTGCTCACATTATAAAGGGAATTTCGGAGGACACATACCAGGTATTGGTGGTGAAAGACATACAGACGGTAGATGAGATCCTGAAGTTTTGCCGTCATCTGGCAACCGTCAAACAGCGCAGGATGGGCCGTACGAAATTCGCCAGGTTGTCAAACGTAATGCCCATTTCGTGTGTTGAAAACTTAAACGACTTGGCCGGCTTAATTCGCCGCATCGTTAGAGAAAGAATTAAAAAGGTCTTCTCAGCACCTGAAGTGGTCAATCCTCTCCGAGAAGTGAACGCCCTGGAACAGACTGTGAGGGAAGAAGTCAGCCGTGCTCTCCAACCTACCAGACCACAAGTCAACGTGGTACAACAACAACCACGCACGCCCTATTATAATATCGACCGACCAACCCAACCCAGGAAGACGGAACATTGGAGAACCTACGACGACAAACCAATCTGCTTCCACTGCGGACGACCCGGACATGTCGTCCGTTATTGTGGGGAACGACGGCAGGTCTTCTCTGAAGCCAGGTTAAAGAATGGCGGAGAAGGAAGAAATGGTGGATTTTCGGGCCGACCCCCGAGATATGATGCCGACGGAGACTATGTAACACCCCAAACTTGACGTACTTCCACAGGAGCTCTTCCCCACATCCAAGCCGCGCAACATCGCCACAGCCCGTCGTTTCAGCCGTTCTCCCAAGCTCAAAATTCGAAAAACTAAGTGGAGCGGCTCCTAACGGGGGTGAGGTCGCCATTGAGGAAAATCCTCCAGGGTATATCGCCGCTAAATTGAAAGAAAATTTTGTTATGTTCGAAATAAATGGACGCAAAATTAAAGCATTGGTGGATTCAGGAGCATACTTTCTGTTATTTCGGACAAATTTAGACGCGAACTAAAGACACCTCTCTTCGAAGAACCAGGTCTCATTCTTAAAGCCGCAAACAAAAATTTAATAGAGACCCTAGGAAAATGTGTCCTGAACAGTTATTCTAGTTCGAAAGAAAGATGGGACCTGGAGATTCTGCGTAGATTATCGTCGATTAAATAAGATAACAAAAAAGGATGTTTACCCGCTGCCACGCATTGACGACGCCTTGGACAGTTTAGCCGGCTCTAGTTACTTCTCCACGATGGATCTTCGGTCCGGGTATTGGCAGATTGAAGTGGACGAAAAGGACAGGGAGAAAACTGCCTTCATCAATCCAGATGGGCTGTATGAATTCCGAGTAATACCACTCGGTCTATGCAACGCTCCAGCAACGTTTGAAAGGATGATAGATAGTGTTCTGGGCAGTCTTAAATGGAACATGTGCCTTTGTTACCTGGGCGATATCGTAGTTTACGCACCTACCTTTGAGTCGTCTACAACTTGTATTAAGGTGCATCCAGAAAGCTGGACTAAGCTTGAACCACAAAAAGTGTCTTTTTGGATCAAGGAGGCTAAAGATTTTAGGACACCTTGTTGACGCCAATGAAATTCATCCAGATCCAGATAAAGTTGAAGCCGTCTCTAAATTTCCGAGGCCAAGGAATATCTCTGAAGTGAGGAGTTTTCTTGGATTATGTTCCTATTACCGAAGATTTATTGAAAACTTTGCCGACAAAGCTAGATCTTTGCATGACCTAATGAAGACTAAAAAACAATTCTATTGAGATGCAGCTCAAGAGAAAGCGTTTGAAGTCCTTAAAATAGCTCTAATTTCAGAGCCTGTCTTGGGACACTTTGATGAATCTGCTGATACCCATCTACACACGGATGCAAGCGGACATGGTATTGGAGCTGTTCTTCTACAAATACAAGGTGGAGAGGAGCGGCCTATAGCTTATGCATCTAAAAGCTTGACAAAGGCTGAAAATAACTATTCCACAACAGAAAAAGAATGCCTTGCTGTAGTCTGGTCTATTAGCAAATTCCGCCCATATTTGTTTGGTCGGCCATTCACGGTTGTCACTGACCATCACTCTCTATGTTGGTTGGTAGGGCAGAAAGATCCTTCTGGCCGTTTGGCAAGATGGGCGCTGAAGTTGCAAGAATTTTACGTGGCCGTTATCTACAATAGCGGACGCAAACATAAGGATGCCAATTGTATGTCAAGGAGCCCGCTTGAGAACGATCAACCAAGTGCTGTGATGTCAATAACCAACGTCGATATAGAGCAGACTAAAGACCCGGATTTAGCTAAAATAATCGATAGTTTAAACTCGGGCTACACCAGAAAGGAATCCATAATTATCGACGGCATCTTATACAAGATAAACTATAGCACAACTGGAAGACCCTGGCTTATGATGAATCCTAAGCACTTAGATAGGAAATTATGGCAGATTTACATGATGCTCCTACAGCTGGGCATTTGGGTTTCGCCCGAACGTATGTCAAAGTGAATAAACGATTCTATTGGCCTAGCCTTTATAGAACTGTTCGCCAATTTGTAAGCCATTGTCGAGAGTGTCAACGAAGGAAGACGTCCGGCTGGACAACTTGTATCCATACCACCTGTAGAAAAGCCATTCTATAAGGTCGGGGTTGATCTCCTTGGAAGATTTCCAGTTTCTAAAGAGGGAAACCGTTGGATCATTGTGTGCACCGATTATATGACAAGGTATGCCATAACGAAAGAGATCTCAGACGGAGGAGCAATCGAAACAGCTAAGTTCCTGGTTGAAGATGTATCTTGAAACATGGAGCTCCTAGAGAAATGATAACAGAGAGATCGCGAAAGAAATTTCATTTCTCAAGTAATAAAAGAGATCAATGCTCTGTGCGGAATTGTGCACAGATTTACAACGGCCTACCATCCCCAGACAAACGGCCTGACTGAAAGGTTCAACAAAACTCTGGGAGATATGTTGTCCATGTACACAGGTGTTGAGCAGAAGAACTGGGACCAAGTTTTACTCTACGTAACTTTTGCTTACAACACTGCTAAACCGGAGGCGACCGGCTACACTCCGTTCTTTCTTGTTCACGCCCGCGAGGCCGAGACCTACATAGATGCCGTACTACCTTACCTACCAGATGAGATCTCTGACGACTACGTTGGAGAACTTGTAACCAGAGCTGAGGAAGCGCTTCAACTCTCTCGATCACGCCTTCTAAAATCACAGTCGAAAGACCGTAGACTTTACGACCAGAAACATACTCCAGTCTATTACCAGAAGAATGATCTTGTGCGGGTTTTTACTCCCATCCGAAAAGTAGGACTATCAGAAAAGCTACTGAAGAGATACTTAGATCCCTACAAGGTGACCAAGAAGCTTTCAGAAGTTACGTATGAAGTAGAGCCCGATCACGGAAAGCCAAAGATATCGTTCATGTCATTCGGATGAAGCCCTACCTGGACCCTGAAGAACAACATTCCATTCTGCTAGGGAACACCCTAGATTTCTTTCCATAACAAGGACTGAGGCAATCTAATCAGCGGGTGGCTGTTTTTTTTCTAAAGAGGGAGTAATGTCAAATAGCTCCATCCAGATGGGACACCTGTCAATCATCCCTGGACCCTGGGGGGGGGGACCACAGGTGTGAGGGGTTCACAGAATCTTATCGGCAAAAACTCTCATCATTATTATCTTTACCTTGGGGTAAGTTGTGTGTGTATTATTATCTGACTCTCCTTATAAATACCTCTTGTAAATAATTGTATTGGAGAACTAGAAGGTAAATACCCCTTATAATAAATTAATTTTTCCCAAATTTGCCCTTGCTTTATTTATCTCCGCGACAATATCTATAGGGTATCCTATCTATATTTACATATAGCATCCTATATACATATTTACATATAGTATCATATGTATATTTACATAGTGTTCGATGTATATTTTCTGCCATAGTTGCTGACACTCCTCGAGTTTTCATTAACCTATTTATTTACTTAATTGAAATATATTAAGTGTTTCTCCATAATATTTATTACAAACAAATAAAAGGATCTATAAGTAAATATACAAACATTATGTCTTAACAACCCGATAATACGTTAGGCCTCTACACTTGCTGCCATCTATCGACCGTTTTTATAACTATTCAAAATCTTTATCACACTCCACAATTTCTTTAAAAATTCTGGCTATATATTTTTATTATCAATTTTAAAATAGTTTTAAAAATTCATAATTCAAAATAATAAATTTGTAATATTTAAAACAAATAGAACAAGATCTATCGAAGAAGGAGCAATCAATTTGTTTCCAAAATAACTTTATTAGGTATCGCTCAAAAAGAATAACCTAGCTTATGTTATTTACAATGAAACATATGAACAGGTTCTTCACAAAACAAAGTGTACAATGTGGGATTCGATCCCAGTTCATTGCTGTCGGAAACCAACGGTTCATTCCGCCGGCCACTGACTATTTTTGAGCCATCAATTGAAATTGTAATTACAATTACTCGAAATATTCTCCTATTTTTTATTTATATCAACAGATCCTTGTTTTACGTGGACCGTTATTATAAAGTGATTCTAAGAAAACCCTTTCAATCTTGTAGGAACAAAACTCCCAAGATCCTAGTTCCTGTTCATAATTGACTGTAGTAGGTTTCACTTACAAAAGACAACATGGATCTTATTTAAGAAGTAGAGATCTCCTGATATTGCACCTCTGATAGTTGTTGATGGCTTGCACCAACTATCGAATAAATATCAACTGATCACTGATTTTTTTTTTCCATCACAGTAAGGACAGTAGAAGTTTGATTGATGTGTAGAAGAAGCTAGTGAATGTTTTTATTAATCTGAGAAACCTTTATAACGCCTTACTAAAAGCTTTAATTTTTATTTTTTCCTGACGAAGACAAAATATTTTTGTCGAAACGTCGAGAGAATAAAACATTCACTAGCCGAAGTGTATTTTAATTTAAAGGATATAAGTCATTAAATGAAAAAGTTTTTCTAAGCGGAAAAAGTCGCCAATTATCCGAAATATACATCAAATTATTTTGAATGATTTAGTTATTATTCATAGCCCATGCAGTCAAGAGGCCCATTAGCTCAGTTGGTTAGAGCGTCGTGCTAATAATGCAAAGGTCGTGGGTTCGATGGGCCAGTTTTTTTTTTTTTTTTTCAAACAAAGATTCCTTAAAGTTCCAAAATTCCGGACTTTAAGACATTGATACTATAATGCGAATGTCATTATTTATTCAAGTGTAAAAAATAAGATCATTTATTCGAACCAATAATCTATCATATAATATTTCAAAATTTGATGGAAAATATACACTGGTCTGCAAAATTAAAGGAACAACACATGTTTAAGAAAAGAAAAGTTATATTAAGGGATATATATCAAGTTTTGGTATATTCAAAAGCTTCCATGAATTAAGAGAGTATGTAAAACAGAAAAACAAATAAAGTTGTTCCCAATATGCAAAATACCACCGTCTACGTTGACTCCGCCTCCAGCACGTGCCTGAGTATTTCTCAAAGTGTCCTAATTTTACGCTCCACTAGATTTTTATTGAACCTTTTTGTTTTTTAGAGTTTTCATGGCTTATAGGCAACATTTATCACAAGAAAAAAATGGCAAGCTATTGGAAGGATGGAAGCAGGCCAATCACAGGCAGAAGTAGCAAGAGGGCTTGGAGTGACAAAAAACGTTGTCTCAAGGCTTTGGAAAAAAATTTCAAACGACAGCTAATGTTGCCAGAACACCCGGACAAGGACGGCCAAGGGTCACAACGTTAAATCAATACCGTTATTTGAGTCTCCTTGTGCGTCGCAATAGAAAATTCACAGCATCGCAACTACGAAGTGACCTCAATGCAGCTACAGGAGTCTTAGTATCAACTGATACAATACGCAGAAGGCTTCACAAGAAGGGCCTCTATGCTTGACGACCCATATTTTGTGTGCCATTGACACCACCTCAAAAGAGAGCAAGGAAACCTTGGTGCAGACAACATGTCGCCTGGAATCCAGATGAATGGAGGCGTGTAATGTTCACTGATAAGTCCAGATTCTCTCTAAACAGCGATTCTCGTCGTGTCTTTGTCTGGAGAGAGATAGGAACCAGAAATAATCCCCTAAATATGGTTGAAAGGGATCTCTACAGAAGCCAAGGTTTTATGGTCTGGGCTGGAATCTTCTTGGGCGGTCGCACAGCACTCCATATTTTTCGGCAAGGAACCCTGACTGGACAGAGGTATCGGGACGAGATCTTGGCAGCATATGTGATGCCTCAAGCATTGGAAATAGGAGAAAACTTTCTTCTAGTGGGTGATAATTCCCGTCCACATAGGGCTGGTGTGGTCGACCCTTTTCTCCAAAACCATGCAATTGCTCGGATGAATTGGCCAGCTCGATCCCCAGACCTAAATCCTATTATAATGTACTAGCCGAATGACCCGGGCAACGCCCGTGTTTTACCCGATTGAATGTTTTGATTCAAATACTATTTCTTACAATTATAAATTGGCGCCTTATGTAAATGCATATGTTAGTTAATAACTATAGCCTATGTGCTTCATCTGTCTATGTACTGTTGGCTTCCGTAGGCGTCTCCTACTGGGAAAAAGAAAGAGGGGATTCCATTTGCTTATTAACTAATATATGCATTTATTTAAGGAGCGACCCGCTCCAACACAATGGTTACAAGTGGCGTGATCGTAGTCGACCAATAGGAGGGCGCCATTCCAAAAAAAAAAGCAAACGGTGACAGAGATGACTGATGAAGAATGACGCTCGTAACTGTATATAGAATGGGACAACCTAGGACGGCGGATCTCATCCCTCCAACCCCCTCCTAGAAACACTCATGAGCTAGAAACAGCCTTAGCAAAAGAGTGGGCGTTGATTCCACAGGAGCTGATAAACTCCCTAATTCTTAGTATGGGTCACCGATGTAGAACCTGTCTATCAGTTAAAGGCGATCACACCCCATATTAACAACAATATCCAAGATATTTATGCACTGACTGCAAGAAGATCATTGCTTGACCGGCTAATTTGCATAAAATACGTGTTAGAAATTTTTGATTTCGGGTATTCTAATCAATAATGGAATAATAAATTTGTGTATAAAATTTCATTGATAAATGTTCAATAAAATTTTAGATAAATGAAAAAATATGTTCTTCCTTTAATTTTGCGGACCAGTGTATGTTAAAACTATACTCATATGACAAACCTTATCATGAATTTCGGGATTGAGACAATAACTCTGAAAGATATTTGATACACAGTGACTTTTATTGAAGACATACGAGATAACCAGGTGTGAACAAAATTGACTATGTCTCCTTAAAAAAAATAGACTTCCTTAAGTTTTTGTCCATGAGTGTATATTGTAACAGAATATTGGTAAATTAATTGGAAAAGATTATTGTTTTACATATTTTGTTACCCAGGCATTTCTCTCGTTGTGATTTTATGTAAATATGTCCCTAGAAAAATCTCCAAAGATTGAAATCTTTCTGGCGTCACCTCAGTAATTGGACTTCCACTGGTATTGTATATAAAACCAAGAAGATGTCAGCCCGGGTGACTTCTGTAGGTGGCTCCAGGAACCTACTAGGTTAACTAAATATATTGACATATGTTATTATTAGGGGTTAAAAAGCAATACACTAGGGCCTATGTAAGAGTAACTTGATGCACAGAAAAACGTACACTCATGAGTACAACACCAACCACAAAAAGGAGGTGTATAAAAAACTCACGATTTGTTAAATAATAAAAAAAACTGTACTTATCTTTTATTTACAGCGTTGATAAGGATAGGACCAGGGTTACAGAGGTATGCGAGGAGATCACCAGACAAGCACACCGAGAACGCTTTAAGCGTCTCCACTCGAATACCCCTCCACGACTCCTCGCATCCCGTTTCAACCCTCTTATATATACAAACTAGCCGAATGACCCGGGCAACACCCGTGTTTTACCCGATTGAATGTTTTTATTCAAATACTATTTGTTACAATTATAAATTGGCGCCTTAAATAAATGCATATCCAAATCCTAATAAATCAGTCATAGGCCGCCTCTGTCACGGATGGCCGGCGCCCTCCTATTGGACGGCTACGATCACGTGTCATCGTTGGCGCGTAGGTGACCTTGACGGGCGGCCAGGGTTCGATTTCCCGGCCGAGGCATTTTTTTTTTTTTATTTTTAAAACTCATTTATATTATATCTATATTAATAATGCAAATTTCATCTTCTATATAAATGGAAATTTCATAAGTGGTGTTCGCTAAAAACTTTCGTTACAATGCATCAATTTCGACCAAATTTTCAACATTTATGTAAAACGAGATGGAGCAGGTTTTGCTTAACATCAAAATATTTTCCTAACTTTAAAATACATAACTTTGCTGTTATCGATAAAATACAAAAAAAAATCAACAGAGTTAATTTTATTTATATATAAATACAAAAAAAAAAACAGCAATTCACTCAACTCAATCTAAAAAAATATTCAAAACAAGCAATTTTAAGATAACACCATATGTAAAACAGTCGGCCAAGAAAACAACAACGATATTACATCTTTCTCACATATTCACGCACAATCTTGATTAATATTTAAAACTAATCTTTAGCATTGTTTATTATACTTCATAATATATAATATTCGTTAGGCAAACTTTCACTCGGATAAAACCCGGGCGAAGCCGGGTACACATCCGCTAGTATAATATTATCACTGAATAATTATTTTAAATATTCTGTGGTATATCATCATTAATATTTGCAAGGTCATCACCCCTTACCATTCTTGTATATTATTACTTGTAAATAAATTCTTAGCAATAGTTTGCATTTTATAAATAAATTATTTTTACTTAAACTTTTGTTATACTCGTTATCACTACCGTGACAACTGGTGGAGACGCTGGAATATTCCCTCGCCGCCCAAGCCGTTAGAAGAAGCCGAAGACTACAAGGACTAGAACCTCAAGAAAACATCGCTATGATCAAGCAAGAGACACAGACAAAAATGGGTGAGTACCATTTTCAACCTTTTAGAAACCCTTCTATTTTTACTGGAGAACGCAACCAGAATCCAGAAAAATGGCTGAAAGAATTCCATCGCGTCGCTCGCTACAACTGCTGGGATGATTCAATGTGCCTCGCAAATGTTTATTTTTTCCTCCAAGGAACAGCGCACAGATGGTACGAAAATGTTGAAGAGAAAATTAATTCATGGGATATTTTTGTGAAAATGTTTTCTCAGAATTTCGGACATCATGTCACCCAAAAAGATCAACTCGCAGAGAACCTCAAAACTCGAGCTCAGGGGAAGGAGGAGACCAGTGATTCTTACATTCAAGATGTTCTCCATCTGTGCAGAGAAGTGAATCCGGCTATGATGGAAAATGAAATAGTTGCACACTTGACGAAAGGAATATCGGAGAAGATATATCAGTCAATCATCATTTTAGACATTGCAAGTATCGATGAGTTCATCAAATGGTGCCGAAAAATCGAGGCTTCAAATAAAAAACGTGTAAATAAACGTGTAGTATTCGACAGACTACCGAATGTTGCCGCCATCGATTCTGCAGACTCTGAATCAATGGAAGACTTAATCCGACGCATCGTGCGTGAAGAAGTTCATCGCGCACTAAATCCCAAGTCAACTACCCCTGAACCATCTTCTCTGAAAGAAATTATCCGAGAAGAGATTGAAAAAAACGTAGCTTCAATTTCGAAGCCTATTCAAAGGCCTCCGCCACGACAGTCGTACCCCAACCAAACACGTACATTCAGCCAGGTTCCACGACGTCAGTACCCTACCCAAACACCCATATATAACCAGACGCCACCACAACGAAGAACGGATGAATGGAGGACGCATGACAACATCCCAATATGTTTTAATTGCGGCCGCCCAGGCCATGTTAAGCGATATTGTAGAGAAAGACGACAATGGACGCAGAGACCCGAAGGACACGCACCAAGCACCCAAGAACCTCAAATTGGTAACCACCAAGCCATAAGAAGCCAAATCTACCGCAGACAATCGCCGTATCCAAACAGAGGAAGATCCCCAAAACGCCAGTCCGTTTCCCCAGGCCGCCATACAAGCCAATCCCCACGCCGCTACA